CAGGTGATTCTCCCAACAAAGCTATTTGTCCACCAATAGACACCATATCATCCCTGCTTGAAGCAAAATCCGAATCTGAATATATATTGAGCTTCAGTTCCTTGCATACCAGTTTAAGTTTGTGCTGTCTGGTATTGGAAACGTACCCTAAAAGTTTAAGTAATCCTTCCCAGTGAAACTTACCAGGATTGCTTTGGAACTGAGAAAATATATTAACAGCATAAGCTATATCCGGACGAGTACGATTGCAAAGAAACGAGAGACATCCCAAAACATTTCTATAAGGATAATTCATCATTTCAGTCGTTTCTTCTTGTGTACTGGGACTTTGAGACTTTGAGTATTTCACACCTTTAACTATTGGAAGGGAAGTAATTTGTATTTTAAAAGACTTAAATCGATCAACTATGTCTTCTATATATAATTGCTGATGAATTAAAACACTATTGTTCTCATATTCAAACTCCACACCCAGAAGCTTTCTTGTTTTACCTAAAATTTTCAAATCAAAATGTGAACTCAGGACTTTTAATATCCTTTTGGCCTGAACTTCACTTTTCCCAAACACTACTATATCATCAACATAAACCAACAGAATGACAAAATCTTTAAAACAATAGACACAATTACACCAGTCAAACTTGATAAACCCTAGGTTACATAGTGTTCTATCCAACTCGTAGTACCATAATCGCCAACTCTGATGCAAACCATACAAGGCTCTATCTAAGTGACACACAAAAGTTTCTTTATCTCGCTCTCACAAAACCCTGAGGTTGGGACATGTAAATTTCCTCTGATAAAGGAGCGTAGAGATAGGCACTTTTTACGTCGCATTGTATATTTGCCCATCCAAGGTGTGCAACTAAAAGGGAGAGAAAAGAGCCTTATTACTGAAAAGTTGACTACAGGAGAGTAGGTTTCATCATAGGTATCGTATTTAATTTGCCGATAACCCTGAGCCACTAAACGAGCTTTAAAACGAACAATGTTTCCAAATTCGTCACGTTTAATGTTGAAAATCCACCTGCAACCTAGTGGAGTCTTGTCTTTAGGAAGTGGAACAAGATGCCATACCTTATGCTTTCGCATGTTGGCCATTTCCTCTTCCATTGCCTCTATCCATTTAAGCTTTTCTGCAGATTTCATTGCCTGGTTATAAGTGTTTGGAATTGAAACCTCTAGTCAGCTATCTCGGGTATACGACGTTGAAGGAGTACCAGTTGGGTCGATTTCACCACTATAAGTATTGCTTCCCTTGAAATCAAACAAGGTAGGATCATACTGAATATTATGTTCAGTGCAATACCTTTCTACATCATTTGGTGATCGTAGTCTTTGATTAGACCCCCTCTCAAAATAATACACATCCGTACGAGTGCCGTCTGGCCTTGGAACAGGTTTACGAAGCCAAGTTACTTGTCTCAATGTAGATTGAGTGTCAGTGCCAATTGTAGAAGAAGGTACATTGGTATCGGTTCTTTCCTCTATTTCAGGAAAATAGCCAACTGGAGTATCAGTAGATTGGAACTCTACCCTTTCTTCAGATTCCAAATCAGGAAGGGTGCCCAGTGCAGCTCCACTGCCACTTTTCTGCATTCCAATTGACTCTTTAAAAGTAGCATTTAGGGTTTCTACTACCTTTTGCTCATTTTCCAACCAAATCTTGTACCCTTTTGTTCGTACACTGTACCCAATCAATCGGCCCTTCGTTGCCTTTGGATCAAGTTTAGAATTTCTTTTAGCCTTTGGAATTCCCACATAGGCAATCGTTCCAAATGCCTTAAGATGACGTACTGATGGTTTCCGCTTAGTGTATAATTCGAATGGGGTTCTATCTTGGCCCTTATGACAAATTCTATTAAATGAATATGCAAAATACATTACTGCATCTGACCAAAATTCGGAACTCATTCCACTATCGTGTAAGATTGCACGTACATTATTGTTGAGAGCTGTCTGATTAAATCTCTCACAAACTCCATTCTGTTCTGGAGTGTAGACATCTGTAAATTCGTGCTTTACACCATTTTTATTACAATATGACCTGAATTGATCATTATCATATTCTCGCCCATTGTCAGTCCTAAAGTATTTCAACTTAAGGTTCAAAGATCTTTCCGCACGTGCTATATGCCTTTCAAATACTTCAAACACCTGACTTTTCTCCACAATGGGGTACACTACCACATAACGAGAATATTCGTCAATAAAGGAAACGAAATAACGTTCACCATTCCTACCTGGAATGTTAATAGGTCCCCATACATCAGAAAAAACCCTTTCAAGCGGTCTCTTTACTTGAATACCTTCTAAGGGTCTATAGGAGATTCGTCTTTGCTTATTGATTTGGCAATGTTCACAAAACAAATTAGGTGAGTGCTTTAACACAGGAAGACCTCGAACTGAATGTCTCTTACTAGTCCTGACAATAGTATCATAATTTATATGACCAAACCGACCATGCCATAATTCACTATTATTATGCTGAACTGTGGATGCCTCAAATTTTACAGATTTGCCCCCCTTTTTGATTATTTTCGGGAACACATGATAGTTACTTCCTATCAACTTAGCCTTGTACAAAGTTGAATTTTCATCATCAGTAACTTTAATTTGCCCATTTTTACCATAAAATCTTGCTCCATTGATATCCACCCTAGGTCCAGATATTAAATTTCGTCTCAGTTCAGGTGAATATAACACATCTTTAAGCAAAATAAACCGTATCCCCAAATTTCATTTTAACAGTACCCTTCCCATGAATTGGAAAAGTTACCCCATCAATAGCTACTAGCATATTCTCATTTTTCACAGGAGAAAAAGTATCAAACAATTCACGATTTTTACAAAAATGATGAGATGCAGCAGTATCAAAAATCCAACTATCATCATTTTCCTTCCAAATTGTTAACATTAGCTTGAGCTATAAAAATGGGACTGTGCATGGGAATTATTTTTACTCAACTTGGGTTTATTCTTACACTTAGAAGATGTTTTATTACTACTAGATACAGCTGAGGAAACAGAAGAAGCAGGTGAGGGTGATCTGGAAAAATTACCTCTCATTCTACAGTATTTTTGAATATGACCTGGACGGCCACATTTATAACACTTGAGCCCTTTAATCTGCTTAAATTTGGGTTCACAGTGAGTACTTTGAACTTCTATAGTCTTATTGGAATTTTCCCTATCTATCTCTCTTAAATTAAGACGCGTTTCCTCTGCTAGAATTTCAAGTTCAACATTTTTAAAAATGAACTTTTCATCTGGCCACCTCAAAATATTCTGAACTACTTGATCAAATTTATCTGGAAGGAACCTAAGAAACTGGAAACATATATATACGTCTCTTACAGCCTGATTAATATCAGCTAACTGTTCAGTTACGCGTTTTAATCTAGAAGAAAAGAAACTAATACTTTCATTTGGCTTAATTTTACAATTTAAGAACTCTGAAAACAGGGACATATGTCTTGACCGATAATCTGGCTGGAAGTATTTGGCAAGCGTATTCCATGCCACTACCGGGTCATCAATTTCACATATCAAGTTTCTATATTCAGGGCTTACATTCATATAAATTAACGATAATGCCAATCGACTTCTATTTTGATAGTCGGCAATAATTTCTTTTGTAATACCCTTAACATCATTTAAATCAGGACATTTTTCAATACCTTTAACCAAAAGCCATGCATTTTTTTCATTCAAGACAAACTTCATATCTTTGGACCATGTAAAGTAATTACATGCCTCAAGTTTAGCAATATTATGCATGACACTAACAGTAGCCATATTTGAATTTTAACAAAAACCGCCCCCCAATCTCTTAAGTCCTAAATTAACTTTAAACTTCAAAAGTCTGCACTAAAAATAACTCAGGAGCTGGTGGCCCATAACCAAAATGATGCTAAAGCAAAGTTTAAAGTTTAAAGAAATTAAACATTTAGCAGTAGTAGCAATAAAAGCTCCCTGAGATATGTTGTGCAGACATTGAAGACAATAAAAGATTTTGAACTTAACCAATTTATTAACAATATAATAAAGAATAAAAACACAGAAAATAAATTTCAACAATATCAGAGTCTTAGGAAAAATATAATATAACCATCATTCATCAAATAATATTTTTACCTGGTCTCCAAAACACTGGCATTCTATACAAACAAAAATGTCCTAAACAGTAAATATGCGGCCTAAAAATAAAGCTGGCTACACATTCAATAAGTTCATGATTAATGGTCAAGAAAAACACCTGAAATTTAAATCAAGTTCTTGAAAACACTTAAACCGGCCTAACTCCGTTTGCACAAGGAATCGCCGCTCACGTATTTTTAATTGCCGCCTTTATTGAAGAACATGGATGCCGCCCACGGCAGTCACTCACATGGTAGCCTCTGGAACCAAGGAACTTTATTCTGGAACAGCCATCCCGCAAACCGGAACCAACCAAGGAACTTTATTCTGGAACAGCCATCCCGCAAACCGGAACCAAGGCACTTTATTCACTGGACTGCATGCATCCTTCTGAAGGGGCTGGAAACCGCTCACTCAAGTGCCAGGAAAGCAGGAACTAGAAGGGTTGAGCCAGAGCGACGCGAGATACTTATAGCAGAAGTAGGAATGACGTCATCTCACGGCAACCAATCAGCTATCGGCACGAATCGGCTTTTCAGATGACGTAACATCATGTTTCGTTTTTGCATCTGAATTAGGTTGAAACAGTCTGTTCTCAATGCAAACAGTGGCAGTAAGAAAAAGAAGTAGAAGTAACTACTATATTACATTAAAATAAGGACTAAACTAAATAAACATTTCAAGGAGGAGAGATGATGCAGTAAAAGGTTTAAAAATAAGCTATATTTTCCAACAGAAGTCACTGGTGGTCATTTTAGACAGAGTTAAACATATTAAATTTTAATTATAGAAACATATATGGGAATTTACACAAGTTAGAAAATGCATTATATTTAACAAGAAACATGATTTGAACTTACTTTGACAATAATCTGCTGTGATCTACGCAGTTATTCTGTATCATACCACTGACATATAATTCACAATCATTAATAAAACTGTGAAGTTTTTTATGAAGTCCTTTAGCTCCAGCTAACGTTTCAGCATTGTAAGAAATATCTAGAAAAATTATAATTTTTATTCCTTTTTAAAGTACTATTATACAATTACAGAAAATTAGTTTTAGCAGCAACGGTTTTTCATAAAAGTATTTTAAAATGTTTCTATACTATTATTTATGCATACTTAAGTACTGAGCTTTTTAATTCTCAGTCTTCAAAGCTTATTAACATACAAGGATAAGATGAAAGTTCTCAGTTTGACCCAGAGATGGCACTCCAATCAACAAAAATTTGTTTCCTGCCTGGGTGCGTGTCATTAGTTCATATGATCAGTTTCAACTTGTTCTCTCACATAGTTTGGGTTGGAGTTGACTTTAGGGTACCCCTTGTATTATCGTGAAGTTGTTGTTGTTTCATTTATCACCAAGTTGTTGTTTCATTTATGGTAACCTGAGTAGTTGAATGTTATGGAAACCCTATTATGAAGTAACCGTTTGCATTATTCTGGGAAATTTTGAATTATGGGATGTTTTGTAAGGGCTTTCGCAGTGTGTGTGTTTAAGAAATACATTGCTTGTTTCATTGTTTAGATGGTAGAATGGCTGAATATAGTAAGATTAATTTGAAGTTTCTGTACGATTGGGAGCGAAAGGGGGGAAGGGCATTAATTGACTCCGGTGTAAATGAAGGTTTACTTTAGTAGCCATTTTCGGGACAGTCTGGAATACATAGGATATTTTTTACTCTGATTTTTGTGAATTTATGTGACGCCGCCGATATACGGATTCTAGTCCAGATAATTTTAGGAAGTTTTTGGATGCTGTTAAGGAATTTTGTTTGCCACAGAGGTAAGTGGATATTTTGCTTTGTGTAATGCTTAAATGCATAATGTTAATGCATAATCCTTTTTTATGTTATTTTATTGTTTGGTTTAAAATGTAGTTTATTGAGATTATGTATTTTTTGTTTGCCTCCTACTGTAGAATTGGGTGCTTCTTTGACTTTTTAAGTGAAAATATATCGATGTGTACATGGAGAAACTCAAGGGAGTGCGCAAAGCCTAGTTTGTGCACTTCTCTGATGTTTTTTGAAGTGAAAATAGGTCGATATGTACATGGATAAAGTCAAGGGCATGCACAATGCCATTTTTGTGCAACTCTGGGATGTTTTTTTAAGTGAAAATAGGTCAATATGTATATGGATACCGAGTTTGTGCAGTTCTTTGTCTTGTTATTTTGGCTTTGTGTAGTGGCGAAAAAATCGCCGCTACGCAAGCCAAAATAACAAGACAAAGAATTGCACAAATTCGGTATCCATGTACCGCCAAAAATCACCAAGCTTTGCCAAGGGGTACTCTAAAATATACTTTTACTGTAGTTTGTTTACACGAATTTTTGCAGTACACATCTTGCATGTCATTTGTTAAAATGGATAAACTGATTTTGTGCAGTGACTTGTCACCATGAATGAGACACGGGTCCACCATGGCACGCTAGAAACGAAACAGCAGTCCAAGCAATAAGTGGAAGCTGGCGGTGCGAAAGGGATCCTGTTAATTTATTACCTTGAAAAGGCAGAACAATTACAGGTGAATATTACTCCAACCCTCTTGACCAGCTGGATGCCAAAATTTGCGAGAAGAGGCCCTCCTTAAAGATAAGAAAAAAATCATCTTTCACCAGGGCAATGCACCTCTGCATAAGGGTACGTTGGTGATGGGAAAACTGCTGGATTTGGGGTACGATTTGTTCGGCTATCTCCCCTTTATTTTCCTGATCTGGCACCCTCAAACTTCCACCTATTCCCAAACTTTGAAATTTGTTTCTGGGAAGTGCTTTGCATCTAATGAAGAAGTTGGAAGGGTCATAGATGAATATTTTCACAACTTTCCAAACTCTCATTTCTGGGAAGGAATACTGATGTTGGAGAAATGCTGCACCAAATGTGTTGAAGTCAAGGGAGATAGATTATGCAGAAAAATAAAATCTTTTCTTAATGGAAAGTCACAGTTTTCATTGTCAGGCTGAGAACTTTTCACCTTACCCTCATATATATACACATGTACAGAAAGAAGAAGACAGTAAAAGTTCTGCTTTAAAAATATGACATTTAAAAACAAAACTTACTTTTTCTGTACAAGGACTGAAGACAGAGAATTCGAAAATCATTTACAGAATTTTCCTTTAAATAATCTTTAATTGATATTGTGTTCTTTAGAGACTTTGACATTTTTTCACTGTCATCTATTTGTAGAAGACCTGAAACCATTTCATGATATTAAATGAAATATTTCAATATATGAACCATATGAATTATAAAAGCATGATACTTAATAGTTAAATGCTTAAAAATAAGAAAACAAATAATTAGAACTTTGACTGAAAAGGGAGTTTTGAAACCTACTATAGGTTCATAGTCTGAATAATACCACTACAAGTTTAAATGCACTCCAATGATTTAACAATGCCAAAGATAAAATCTAAAACATTTCAGTCAGAAAGTCTTTTTTTTTAATTCTTTAGAATTATCAAAAATTTGGTTTAAAATACAGTAAATTACAGATTTTAAAGCCATTTTTAAATATATTTCCACATATTCTCTTTAATAATGAAAACATAAAATGATAACATCTATCCATATTTTAAATGAATACTTATCAATGTCAGCTTATGCTCATATACAAACCACTTGGACAACAACAAATACAACTTACAATGAACAAAAACCTTTTGATATTTCCCAATAATTTAAGCCATACAACATAATAAAATAAGTGGATTTATGCATAGTTTTTTTTATCATTTTTACAAACCTAAACTATCAAAATTTTGTGAATTTTGTGTATCTGCAATACTTTTGCTTTTGCGGAAAGTTTTGCTTAAAGAGAGAAGTATACTATAAGTTTCAAGATAAATTAGTAAGATTACAGAGGAATGAATTTAAATAGTTGAACTTGCAAATTCCAGCTTTTACTTCTGTATCTCCAGAATCACAAGTTTTCAAATTTTATAAACTTAGTAATTAATTATTAACTTTACTAAATTAATTATTTATCTGACATATAAGTCTCCTGTCAGAACTGAAAAAAAGGAGGATTTTTTCATTTTCTTTCTTTTAAATCTTCAGTTATGTTTGGCTAGGTTTTTTAAATATGGTAGAGGATATGAGGGCTATGAGGGAGGAAACTGGTTTTCTACGGGAAACTGGTTTGTATCATGTTACACAGAAAACCATGAAAAATGCAGACAGCCCATTTGCCTATCAAATTCAGGACAAGGTCTCAACATTCAGCAGTCTTAACCACTTTGCCACTGGTATGGCCTTAAGCCTTTACTTAACCCTTTGATGGTTATGAATGAGTTCAGCTCGCAATCGAATCGTGCTTCATAATGCGTGCAAACGAATTCTGCTCGGGAACAAGATTTCGACCGAAATGGTTAGAAACGAGCACTATTCGCTTAGTTAAATTTTCTCCCATTGCGCATTGAGGAGCTGAGCTTGTTCGCAATTATTATTCTGCATTGATTATGTTACAAAGGAATACTACTCGTGAAATTTAGTTAGTTTTACTGTCTACAGATGGCAGTACGGGTTCCATGAATTTCTTTTCATAATGAACGGGGATTTTTTTTTTTAAACCTTGTTTTTTTATGCGTATTTTGGCACGTTTTTTAGGGTGTTTGTAAAGTAAAATGGCTCAAAAGTGAAAGTTAGATAATTATGATGGTGATTATGATTGTGATACAGAAAACTTATCAAGACTTTGTTCACAGTATATTAGGCTCAGAAGACGATTCAAGCCATGAGGAAGATTTTTCGTGTTCCACAGTGGTGTAGAATTGATTCAAGTTCTCACGCTCCTAGCCAATTTAGTTTACTGGTGATGTGGGCATGAAAGCTTGTATGACAAATATTTCTGATCCACTAGAGTACTTAGAACTGTTTTTCGGTAATTACTGTATTTAAATGCTTCATAAAGTTTTACATTAGTTGCATATATTCAGTACTTTCAATTTATTATTTTTCTTATAATTAACTATTATTATTTATATAATTGATTATAATCATTTATAATTTACCATTTAATAATTATCATTTATTAATTATTTTAAAGTACATAAAAACTGTTATTTATGTACTACAAATACTTTAAGAAATTTTTAAAACGTGCGAGGCAAGCTATCTACGGCATCGCCAGAGAAGGGTGACATTTTCGGAAAAACGGCAGGGGAAAACAGCTGCCACTTTCGACTACTGTTTACTCATAATACTGCGAGAATTAAGTAAACAAAAGCTGCTTATTTTCCTAACTGTGAAAGGGTTAATAACAGGGTGTTGTCTTACGGTATGCGGCACAAGTAAAATCTTTTATCACACTGCATTGCCTTGAATCATGGATTTTATTTAGAATTATATACTTTAAAACAAAACAAACTGCCTGTTATCCTATCAATTTTCTGTCTCTGTATGTTGTCAAATATTGACTTCATTAACAAAATAAGACATTTTACTAGGTCAAAGGGAAAAAGTTTCCCTCCTGTCTTGCTGTAATGAGATAGAGCTGCCCATTTTTTCCCTATCTTCATGCTGCATGCTTATCACATCAGTGGAAAGTGATGCATTAATGCATTTAATTTGCTGGAATTTATCATTACTCTTTAGGTATTACTAATACTTAAAGGTGAGTTTACAGCTTCAAAGTTTACATTGTATTGCACATTTAAGTTTAAAGTTGTTTAGTTTTGTTTAAAATCTTTTAAAATTTAAAACTGGCTTATTTTAAAAATGTTTACTGTTATTTATCATGTTTTCCCTAAGTTTCATATGATAATGAAGCTTTTTTTTTTCCCCTCTTGATTTGAATCATGACAGACTGAAAATGAAATAGAACGGCTTTTAAAGGATTTAATTCAACCGATGTTTAAATTTTGATCATCTTATGAAAAACAAAGAAACTTAATGGGTATGCGCAGTGATAAAGTAAAAAAACAAAACACACACAAATTACATGAGGCAAGCAAACTAGCTAATCAATAGTTTATATTAATGAAAAGTTTCAGTTTTACGTTAGGAACTTAACAATTTCTGTGTGTAATTAATATCTGTCTTAAGACATGGTATGTTTCACTTTGATCAAGGCCTGATTTCAGCCGATGTCTAATTTTGATACTTCTGAATTTTTTTGTGCAAAAGTGTAATTCTAGCCAGAATGCAATGCAGCTTAATTATGACAGACTCCACTGTACAACTGAACTGTAGCATTAACAGAAAAGTTTAATGTTATATTTTATTCAGCAGTTAGTAAAACTGATATTGATACTAGATACAGAACGAAGGCTATTTAATAATTATCATTTATTAATTATTTTAAAGTACATAAAAACTGTTATTTATGTACTACAAATACTTTAAGAAATTTTTAAAACGTGCGAGGCAAGCTATCTACGGCATCGCCAGAGAAGGGTGACATTTTCGGAAAAACGGCAGGGGAAAACAGCTGCCACTTTCGACTACTGTTTACTCATAATACTGCGAGAATTTTCAGGGAATAGCAAAATGAGCAGAAAAATTTCAGCAACTAATTCAAAATTCGACTAAAACTTATTTTAAATTTTAACTTCAAAATTCAACTTGAGCAAGAAAACCCTCTCTGTCAAAATCAGAAAGAGGAGTTTTATGAGCTAAATTAATTTCACCAAAATATATTTAAGCAGATCAAAAGCCAACATAAAAACTCGCATATGTCTCTGTTTAATGAATACTTATAGTGTACCCTACACAAAGTAATGAGACACTTAAACTGAGCAGTTAGGTTATTCATAATGCATGAGAAGCAAGTGTCTGGCTATTTGGGAATAAAAAAAAAGAGAGAAAGAGTGAAAGAAAACCTAGCTTTTATGCTTAGTATCATATGTTATTATAGTGAACGTTCATGTGAAGTTTCATAATGAACTTTCTTTAAATAATGAACCTTTCATTTCTTTAATTATTTCACTTAGTATGTTACAAAATGACTTTCATGTGTGTCACTGATGATTCACAGCAGCCCTACTTTTCAGAACTGTGTGCATTAAATGTGATCCACAGGCTTTGTACTGTTTGAAGCTGTGGAGTCACTGGTGCTTCATAAACACACATGTTTTTAAAGTTAAAATTACTTCTGTGACCTCAGAAAGTTGCTCCGTATTCTTGGTTTTCAACTTCTGGAAGCTTTTTTCCATAAATTATTATATCATTTTAATATATATTTTCCTGCAATAACTTTTAAATAATTATTGTTAAGTGTGGAAGTAAGATACAAAGCTGTAAATAAAGAGGATTGTGTTGGTTAATGATAGAGTACAAGACTAGTGCCCATTTTAACCCATTATCCGCTGGTGTTGCGTTGACGCAACAGTCAAAATAAATGCGTATATAAAAATAACTACCTATGATATTTTATACCAGCAGATGATTTTGTGTAGGGAATATTATGAAGATTATTTCTGTAAAAAAATATTTGCCTTCAACAATCACTTTGTTTATAATAATTAATCTCATACTTTAAGCAAAATTTTCGACCTGGTATTTTTGCTGAAAATATTTAACGAAAGAATTGCCGTCTTTATGAGTGATCTATTTTTAGTCAAGGTAACCATTTATCAGAACATTACATCAGTCAGATGTTTATATTTGTGTTGGGAAGGAAAGAAAAACAGGTGTTGCGTTGACACAACGTCAGCAGGAAACGGGTAGTCAATCTCCTTTTGCACTCATTCCTTTCGATGTTCTGTTTCATGTTCTGGTTGTTTAAAAATGCCTAGAACGAGGTATCTTACATTAGAAGAAGCCCTTCAAAGATTTTTTGATGAAGAAACAGATGATGATAATGTTAATAATGACCAGAATGAAACTGATGTTGTTGTTGTTCTCCCAGAAATTGCAGAGGCTAGTGGCGAAGAAGAAAGGAATGGCAATGTTTTAAATAATGATAATGATATTTTACCAAATGATACTGCTGGGGAAGTTTAATGTCATGTAAGAAGTAAGTTTCAGCCTTCTAAAAGCAGTTATAGTCATACTAAAAAGTTTAAAAAGCAGAAGACTGAAATCTTGACGTGGATAAAAAAGGAACTGTTAGTTATGTCTCAGGAAGAACATGAAGAAAGAGATAGAAGAGAAATTAAAAGACAAAACACAAGGTATAACTAGTGCACAGATTTTTGATTTTCTTTTTGGTTTAGACATTTACTCTCTACTCTCTTCTCGTTGAACAAAC